TCACGTCCACGACCACGTCCACAACCATTCCACGTCCACGTCCACGTCCACGTCCGTTCTCCTTGGCCCTACGAAATGCGGCCAGACTGGCCGATGCACCATTTTCTCTACACATGTGCGTTAGTTACTTTCAAACCCTTACGTTCACTAGATGAATATATTTCTACCTTCTATTTGAGTGAGACCACTAGATTCCGTGTACTATGCGAGATCTGAGCGGTTCCGTTCTCCCAGGCATTGCACTCTAAGTTCCCATACTGACCGACTGGCCAATGCACCACTTTCCATATACATATGCATTAGATTCCTTCAAAACCTTATTAGCTCACTAGATAATATTTCCCACCTTCTGATCGAGTGAGACCGCTAGATTCCCTTTACTTTTTGAGAAATGAGCGTTTTCCGTTCTCTTGGCCCTACTTGCACTATAAAAGTGCGAAATGCCGGCCAGACTGGCCGATGCACCATTTTCTCTACACATGTGCGTAGTTACCTTTCAAACCCTTACGTCACTAGTGAATATATTTCCTACTTCTATTTGAGTGAGACCACTAGATTCCGTTTGTACTATGCGAGATCTGAGCGGTTCCGTTCTCCTGGCATTTGCACTCTAAGTTCCCATACTGACCGACCTGGCCAATGCACCATTTTCCATATACATATGCATTAGATTCCTTTCAAACCTTATTAGCTCACTAGATTATATATTTCCACCTTCTGATCGAGTGAGACCGCTAGATTCCCTTTACTTTTTGAGAAATGAGCGTTTCCGTTCTCCTTGGCCCTACTTGCACTATAAGTGCGAAATGCGGCCAGACTGGCCGATGCACCATTTTGCTCACACATGTGCGTTAGTTACCTTTCAAACCCTTACGTTCACTAGATGAATTTATTTCCTACTTCTATTTGAGTGAGACCACTAGATTCCGTGTACTATGCGAGATCTGAGCGCTTCGTTCTCCCTGGCATTTGCACTAAGTTCCCATACTGACCGACCTGGCCAATGCACCATTTTCCATAACATATGCATTAGATTCCTTCCAAACCTTATTAGCTCACTAGATTTATATATTCCCACCTCTGATCGAGTGAGACCGCTAGATTCCTTTACTTTTTGAGAAAATGAGCGTTTCCGTTCTCTTGGCCCTACTGCACTATAGGTGCGAAATGCCGGCAAGACTGGCCGATGCACCATTTTCTCTACACATGTGCGTTAGTTACCTTTCAAACCCTACGTTCACTAGATGAAATATTTCCTACCTTCTATTTGAGTGAGACCACTAGATTCCGTGTACTATGCGAGATCTGAGCGGTTCCGTTCTCCCTGGCATTTGCACTCTAAGTTCCCATACTGACCGACCTGGCCAATGCACCATTTTCCATATACATATGCATAAGATTCTTTCAAACCTTATTAGCTCACTAGATTTATATATTTCCCACCTTCTGATCGATGAGACCGCTAGATTCCCTTACTTTTTGAGAAATGAGCGTTTCCGTTCTCCTTGGCCCTACTTGCACTATAAGTGCGAAATGCCGGCCAGACTGGCCGATGCACCATTTTCTCTACACATGTGCGTTAGTTACCTTTCAAAACCCTTACGTTCACTAGATGAATATTTCCTACCTTCTATTTGAGTGAGACCACTAGATTCTGTGTACTATGCGAGATCTAAGCGCTTCGTTCTCCCTGGCATTTGCACTCTAAGTTCCCATACTGACCGACCTGGCCAATGCACCATTTTCCATATAAATATGCATAAGATTCCTTTCAAACCTTATTAGCTCACTAGATTTATATATTTCCACCTCTGATCGAGTGAGACCGCTAGATTCCCTTTACTTTTTGAGAAATGCGCGTTTCCGTTCTCCTTGGCCCTACTTGCACTATAAGTGCGAAATGCGGCCAGCCTGGCCGATGCACCATTTTCTCTACACATGTGCGTTATTTACCTTTCAAACCCTTACGTTCACTAGATGAATTTATTTCCTACCTTCTATTTGAGTGAGACCACTAGATCCGTGTACTATGCGAGATCTGAGCGCTTCGTTCTCCCTGGCTTTTGCACTCTAAGTCCCCATACTGACCGACCTGGCCAATGCACCATTTTCCATATACATATGCATTCGATCCTTTCAAACCTTATTAGCTCACTAGATTTATATATTTCCCACTTTGATCGAGTGAGACCGCTAGATTCCCTTTACTTTTTGAGAAATGAGCGTTTCGTTCTCTTGGCCCTACTTGCACTATAAGTGCGAAATGCCGGCCAGCTGGCCGATGCACCATTTTCTACACATGTGCGTTAGTTACCTTTCAAACCTTACGCTTCACTAGATGAATTTATTTCCTACCTTCTATTTGAGTGAGACCACTAGATTCCGGTTTGTACTATGCGAGATCTGAGCGGTTCCGTTCTCCATGAATTTGCACTCTAAGTTCCCATACTGACCGACCTGGCCAATGCACCATTTTCCATATACATATGCATTAGATTCCTTTCAAACCTTATTAGCTCACTAGATTTATATATTTCCCACCTTCTGATCGAGTGAGACCGCTAGATTCCCTTACTTTTGAAGAAATGAGCGTTTCCGTTCTCCTTGGCCCTACTTGCACTATAAGTGCGAAATGCGGCCAGACTGGCCGATGCACCATTTTCTCTACACATGTGCGTTAGTTACCTTTCAAACCCTTACGTTCACTAGATGAATATATTTCCTACCTTCTATTTGAGTGTGACCACTAGATTCCGTGTACTATGCGAGATCTGAGCGGTTCCGTTCTCCCTGGCATTTGCATTTTAAGTTCCGATACTGACGACCTGGCCAATGCACCATTTTCTCTATACATGTGCGTTGAATACATTTCAAACCTTTTTAGCTGACTAGATTTATATATTTCCCACCTTCTGATCGAGTGAGACCGTTAGATTCCCTCTAGTTTTTGAGAAACGAGCGTTTCCGTTCTCCCTGGCCCCACCTGCACTATGAGTGCGAAATGCCGGCCAGACTGGCCGATGCACCATTTTTTCTACACATGTGCGTTAGTTACCTTTCAAACCCTTACGTTCACTAGATGAATTTATTTCCTATCTCCATTTGAGTGAGACCACTAGATTCCGTATACTATGCGAGATCTGAGCGGTTCCGTTCTCACTGGCATTTGCACTCTAAGTTCCCATACTGACCGACCTAGCCAATGAACCGCCTTTCCATATACATATGCATTAGATTCCTTCCGAACCTTATTAGCTCACTAGATTTATATATTTCCCACCTTCTGATCGAGTGAGACCGCTAGATTCCCTTTACGTTTTGAGAAATGAGCGTTTCCGTTCTCCTTGGCCCTACTTGCACTATAAGTGCGAAATGCCGGCCAGACTGGCCGATGCACCATCTTCTCTACACATGTGCGTTAGTTACCTTTCAATCCCTTACGTTCATTAGATGAATTTATCTCCTACCTTCTATTTGAGTGAGACCACTAGATTCCGTGTACTATGCGAGATCTGAGCGCTTCCGTTCTCCCTGGCATTTGCACTCTAAGTTCCCATACTGACCGACCTGGCCAATGCACCATTTTCCATATACATATGCATTAGATTCCTTTCAAACCTTATTAGCTCACTAGATTTATATATTTCCCACCTTATGATCGAGTGAGAACGCTAGATTCCCTCTACTTCTTGAGAAATGAGCGTTTCCGTTCTCCTGACCTAGTTGCACTATAAGTGCGAAATGCCGGCCAGACTGGCCGACGCACCATTTTCTCTACACATGTGCGTTAGTTACCTTTCAAACTCTTACGTTCACTAGATGAATATATTTCCTACTTTCTATTTGAGTGAGACCACTTGATTTCGTGTACTATGCGAGATCTGAGCGCTTCCGTTCTCCCTGGCATTTGCATTTTAAGTTCCGATACTGACCGACCTGGCCAATGCACCATTTTCTCTATACATGTGCGTTGAATAAATTTCAAACCTTTTAGCTGACTAGATTTATATATTTCCCACCTTCTGATCGAGTGAGACCGTTAGATTCCCTCTAGTGGACGTGGACGTGGACGTGGACGTGGACATGGACGTGGACGTGGACATGGACGTGGACATGGACGTGGACGTGGACGTGGACGTGGACGTGGACATGGACGTGGACGTGGACGTGGACGTGGACGTGGACGTGGACGTTGACGTGGACGTGGACAAGGACGTGGACATGGACGTGGTCGTGGATGTGGACGTGGACGTGGAGGTGGACGTGGATGTGAGGGACGTGGACATGGACGTGGACGTGGAGGACGTGGACATGGACGTGGACGTGGACGACGTGGACATGGACGTGGACGTGGACGTGGACGTGGATGGACGTGGACGTGGAGGACTTGGACGAGGACATGGACGTGGATGTGGACGTGGACGTGGACGGGACGAAGACATGGTCGTGGACGTGGACGTGGACGTGGACGTGGACGAAGACATGGTGGGACGTGGACGTGGACGTGGACGTGGACGAAGACATGGTCGTGGACGTGGACATGATCGTGGACGTGGACGTGGACGTGGACGTGGACGTGATCGTGGACGTGGACGTGGACGTGGACGTGGACCTGGACATGGACGTGGATGTGGACGTAAACGTGGACGTGGACCTGGACGTGGACCTGGACGTGGACGTAAACGTGGACGTGGACGTGGACGTGGACCTGGACGTGGACGTGGTTGGGGACGTGGACGTGGACGTGGACGTGGACGTGGACGTGGAGGTGGACTTGGACGTGGACGTGGACGTGGACGTGGACGTGGAGGTGGACGTGGAGGTGGACGTGGACGTGGACGTGGACGTGGAGGTGGACGTGGACTCGGAGGTGGACGTGGACGTGGACGTGGACGTGGAATTGGACGTGGATGTGGACGTGGACGTGGACTGGAACGTGGACGTGGACCTGGACGTGGACGTGGACGTGGACGTGGACGTGGACGTGGACGTGACGTGGGACGTGTACGTGGACGTGGACGTGGACGTGGACGTGGACGTAGACGTGGACCTGGACGTGGACGTGGACGTGGACGTGGACGTGGACATGGATGGACATGGACGTGGCCATGGTCGTGGACGTGGACGTGGACGGACATGGACGTGGCCATGGTCGTGGACGTGGACGTGGACGTGGACGTGGACGTGGACGTGTACATGGACGTGGACGTGGACGTGGACGTGGACGTGTACATGGACGTGGACGTAGACGTGGACGTGGACGTAGACGTGGACGTGGACGTGGACGTGGACGTGGACATGGACGTGGACATGGTCGTGGACGTGGACGTGGACATGGTCGTGGACGTGGACGTGGACGTGGACATGGACATGGACGTGGACGTGGACGTGGACGTGGACGTGGGGACTTGGACGTGGACATGACGTGGACGTGGACGTGGACGTGGACGACATGGACGTGGACGTGGACGTGGACGTGGATGTGGACGTGGACGTGGACGTGGACGTGGACGTGGACATGGACGTGGACCGCGTCCGCGTCCGCGGACGTGGACGTGGACGTGGTCGTGGACGTGGACGTGGACATGGACGTGGACGTGGACGTGGACGTGGACGTGGACGTGGACGTGGACATGGACATGGACGTGGACATGGACGTGGACATAGACGTGGACCTGTACGTGGACGTGGACGTGGACGTGGACATGGACGTGGACGTGGACGTGGACGTGGAGATGGACGTGGACGTGGACGTGGACGTGGACGTGGAGATGGACGTGGATGTACGTGGACGTGTACGACGTGGACGTGGACTTGGACGTGGACGTAGACGTGGACGTGGACGTAGACGTGGACGTGGACGTGGACGTGGACGTGGACATGGACGTGGACGTGGACGTAGACGTGGACGTAGACGTGGACGTGGACGTGGACGTGGACATGGACGTGGACGTTGACGTAGACGTGGACGTGGACGTGGACATGGACGTGGACGTGGACGTGGAAGTGGACGTGGACGTGGACGTGGACGACATGGACGTGGACGTGGACGTGGACGTGGACGTGGACGTGGACGTGGACGTGGACGTGGACATGGACGTGGACCGCGTCCGCGTCCGCGGGCGTGGACGTGGACGTGGACGTGGTCGTGGACGTGGACGTGGACATGGACGTGGACGTGGACGTGGACGTGGACGTGGACGTGGACGTGGACATGGACATGGACGTGGACATGGACGTGGACGTGGACGTGGACGTGGACGTGGACGTGGACGTGGACATGGACATGGACGTGGACATGGACGTGGACATAGACGTGGACGTGTACGTGGACGTGGACGTGGACGTGGACATGGACGTGGACGTGGACGTGGACGTGGAGATGGACGTGGACGTGGACGTGGACGTGGACGTGGAGATGGACGTGGATGTGGACGTGGACGTGGACGTGGACGTGGACGTGGACGTGGACGTGGACGTGGACGTGGAGATGGACGTGGATGTGGACGTGGACGTGGACGTGGACGTGGACGTGGACATGAAGGACATGGACGTGGACGTGGACGTGGACGTGGACATGAAGGACATGGACGTGGACGTGGACAGGGACGTGGACGCAGACGCGGACGCAGACGCGGACGTGGACGTGGACGTGGACGTGGACGTGGACGTGGACGTGGACGTGGACGTGGACGTGGAGATGGACGTGGACGTGGACGTGGACATGGACGTGGAGATGGACGTGGACGTGGACGTGGACGTGGACGTGGACATAGACGTGGACGTGGACGTGGACGTGGACATGGTCGTGGACGTGGACGTGGACGTGGACGTGGACATGGTCGTGGACGTGGACGTGGACGTGGACGTGGACGTGGACGTGGACGTGGACGCGGACGTGGACATGGACGCGGACGCGGACGTGGACATGGACGTGGACGGGGACGTGGACGTGGACGGGGACGTGGACGTGGACGTGGACGTGGACGTGGTGGACTTGGACGTGGACATGGACGTGGACGTGGACGTGGACGTGGACGTGGACGTGGAGGACGTGGACATGGACGTGGACGTGGACATGGACGTGGACATGGACGTGGACGTGGACGTGGACATGGTCGTGGACGTGGACGTGGACGTGGACGTGGACGTGGACATGGACGTGGACATGGTCGTGGACGTGGACGTGGACGTGGACGTGGACATGGACGTGGACGTGGACATGAAGGACATGGACGTGGACGTGGACGTGGACGTGGACGACTTGGACGTGGACATGGACGTGGACGTCGACGTGGACGTGGACGTGGACGTGGACGTGGACATGGACGTGGACGTGGACGTGGACGTGGACATGGACGTGGACGTGGACGTGGACGTGGACGTGGACATGGACGTGGACGTGGACGTGGACGTGGACGTGGACGTGGACGCGGACGTGGACGCGGACGTGGACGCGGACGTGGACGTGGACGTGGACGGGGACGTGGACGTGGACGGGGACGTGGACGTGGACGTGGACGTGGACGTGGATGTGGACGTGGACGTGGACGTGGAGATGGACGTGGACGTGGACGTGGACATGGACGTGGACATGGACGTGGACGTGGACGTGGACGTGGACGTGGACATAGACGTGGACGTGGACGTGGACGTGGACGTGGACATGGTCGTGGACGTGGACGTGGACATGGTCGTGGACGTGGACGTGGACGTGGACATGGACATGGACGTGGACGTGGACGTGGACGTGGACGTGGTGGACTTGGACGTGGACATGGACGTGGACGTGGACGTGGACGTGGACGTGGACGTGGAGGACATGGACATGGACGTGGACGTGGACATGGACGTGGACATGGACGTGGACGTGGACGTGGATATGGTCGTGGACGTGGACGTGGACGTGGACGTGGACGTGGACGTGGACATGGACGTGGACATGGTCGTGGACGTGGACGTGGACGTGGACGTGGACATGGACGTGGACGTGGACATGAAGGACATGGACGTGGACGTGGACGTGGACGTGAACGTGGACGTGGACGTGGACGTGGACGTGGACATGGACGTGGACGTGGACGTGGACGTGGACATGGACGTGGACGTGGACGTGGACGTGGACGTGGACGTGGACATGGACGTGGACGTGGACGTAGACGTGGACATGGACGTGGACGTGGACGTGGACGTGGACGTGGACGCGGACGTGGACATGGACGCGGACGCGGACGTGGACATGGACGTGGACGGGGACGTGGACGTGGACGGGGACGTGGACGTGGACGTGGACGTGGACGTGGACATAGACGTGGACGTGGACGTGGACGTGGACGTGGACATGGACGTGGATGTGGACGTGGACGTGGACTTGGACGTGGAGGTGGACGTGGACATGGACATGGACGTGGACGTGGACGTGGACGTGGACATAGACGTGGACGTGGACGTGGACGTGGACGTGGACCTGGACGTGGACGTGGGCGTGGACGTGGACATGGACGTGGACGTGGACGTGGACGTGGACGTGGACATAGACGTGGACGTGGACGTGGACGTGGACGTGGACGTGGACATGGACGTGGACGTGGACGTGGACGTGGACAGGGACGTGGACGTAGACGTGGACGTGGACGTGGACATGGACGTGGACGTGGACGTGGACGTGGACGTGGACGTGGACGTGGACATAGACATGGACGTGGACGTGGACGTGGACGTGGACATGGACGTGGACGTGGACGTGGACGTGGACTTGGACGTGGACGTGGACGTGGCCGTGGACATGGACGTGGACGTGGACGTGGACGTGGACGTGGACGTGGACGTGGACATGGACGTGGACGTGGACGTGGACATGGACGTGGACATGGACATGGACGTGGACGTGGACATGGACGTGGACGTGGACGTGGACATGGACGTGGACGTGGACATGGACGTGGACGTGGACGTGGACGTGGACGTGGACATGGACGTGGACGTGGACGTGGACGTGGACGTGGACATGGACGTGGACGTGGACATGGACGTGGACGTGGACGTGGACGTGGACATGGACGTGGACGTGGACATGGACGTGGAGATGGACGTGGACGTGGACATGGACATGGACATGGACGTGGATGTGGACATGGACGTGGACGTGGACATGGACATGGACGTGGACGTGGACATGGACGTGGACGTGGACGTGGACATTGACGTGGACGTGGACGTGGACATGGACGTGGACGTGGACATGGACATGGACATGGACGTGGACGTGGACATGGACGTGGACGTGGACATGGACATGGACGTGGACGTGGACGTGGACGTGGACATGGACGTGGACGTGGACGTGGACGTGGACGTGGACGTGGACGTGGACATGGACGTGGACGTGGACGTGGACGTGGACGGGGACGTGGACATGGACGTGGACGTGGACATGGACATGGACGTGGACGTGGACGTGGACATAGACGTGGACGTGGACGTGGACGTGGACATGGACATGGACGTGGACGTGGACGTGGACGTGGACGTGGACTTGGACGTGGACGTGGACGTGGACGTGGACATGGACATGGACGTGGACGTGGACGTGGACATGGACGTAGACCTGGACATAGACGTGGACGTGGACGTGGACGTGGACCTGGACATGGACGTGGACCTGGACGTAGACCTGGACGTGGACGTGGACATGGACGTGGACGTGGACGTGGACGTGGACGTGGACATAGACGTGGACGTGGACGTGGACGTGGACATGGACGTGGACGTGGACGTGGACGGGGACGTGGACGTGGACGTGGACGTGGACATGGACGTGGACGTGGACGTGGACGTGGACGTGGACGTGGACGTGGACGTGGACGTGGACATGGACGTGGACGTGGACGTGGACATGGACGTGGACGTGGACATGGACGTGGACGTGGACGTGGACATGGACGTGGACTTGGACGTGGACGTGGACGTGGACGTGGACGTGGACATGGACGTGGACGTGGACATGGACGTGGACGTGGACGTGGACATGGACGTGGACGTGGACATGGACGTGGACGTGGACGTGGACGTGGACATGGACGTGGACATGGACGTGGACGTGGACGTGGACGTGGACGTGGACATGGACGTGGACGTGGACGTGGACGTGGACATGGACGTGGACTTGGACGTGGACGTGGACATGGACGTGGACTTGGACGTGGACGTGGACATGGACGTGGACGTGGACGTGGACGTGGACGTGGACATGGACGTGGACGTGGACGTAGACATGGACGTGGACGTGGACATGGACGTGGACGTGGACATGGACGTGGACGTGGACGTGGACATAGACGTGGACGTGGACATGGACGTGGACGTGGACGTGGACGTGGACGTGGACATGGACGTGGACGTGGACGTGGACGTGGACGTGGACATGGACGTGGACGTGGACATGGACGTGGACGTGGACGTGGACATGGACGTGGACGTGGACATGGACGTGGAGATGGACGTGGACGTGGACATGGACATGGACATGGACGTGGATGTGGACATGGACGTGGACGTGGACATGGACATGGACGTGGACGTGGACATGGACGTGGACGTGGACGTGGACGTGGACATGGACGTGGACGTGGACATGGACGTGGACATGGACGTGGACGTGGACATGGACATGGACATGGACGTAAACGTGGACATGGACGTGGACGTGGACATGGACATGGACGTGGACGTGGACGTGGACGTGGACATGGACGTGGACGTGGACGTGGACGTGGACGTGGACGTGGACATGGACGTGGACGTGGACGTGGACGTGGACGGGGACGTGGACATGGACGTGGACGTGGACATGGACATGGACGTGGACGTGGACGTGGACGTGGACATAGACGTGGACGTGGACGTGGACGTGGACATGGACATGGACGTGGACGTGGACGTGGACGTGGACGTGGACTGGACGTGGACGTGGACGTGGACGTGGACATGGACATGGACGTGGACGTGGACGTGGACATGGACGTAGACCTGGACATAGACGTGGACGTGGACGTGGACGTGGACGTGGACCTGGACGTGGACGTGGACCTGGACGTAGACCTGGACGTGGACGTGGACATGGACGTGGACGTGGACGTGGACGTGGACGTGGACATAGACGTGGACGTGGACGTGGACGTGGACATGGACGTGGACGTGGACGTGGACAGGGACGTGAACGTGGACGTGGACGTGGACATGGACGTGGACGTGGACGTGGACGTGGACGTAGACGTGGACATGGACGTGGACGTGGACATAGACGTGGACGTGGATGTGGACGTGGACGTAGACGTGGACGTGGACGTGGACGTGGACGTGTAGACGTGGACGTGGACGTGGACGTGGACGTGGACTTGGACGTGGACGTGGACTTGGACGTGGACGTGGACGTGGACGTGGACATGGACGTGGACGTGGACGTGGACGTAAACGTGGACGTCGACATGGTCGTGGGCGTGGACATGGACATGGACGTGGACGTGGACGTGGACATGGACGTGGACGTGGACGTGGACGTGGATGTGGACATGGACGTGGACGTGGACGTGGACATGGACGTGGACGTGGACATGGAGGTGGACGTGGACATGAACATGGACGTAGACGTGGACGTGGACATGGACGTGGACGTGGACATGGACGTGGATATGGACGTGGACGTGGACATGGACATGGACATGGACGTGGACGTGGACATGGACGTGGACGTGGACATGGACATGGACGTGGACGTGGACATGGACATGGACGTGGACGTGGACGTGGACGTGCACGTGGACATGGACGTGGACGTGGACATGGACGTGGATATGGACGTGGACATGGACATGGACATGGACATGGACATGGACGTGGACGTGGACATGGACGTGGACGTGGACATGGACGTGGACGTGGACGTGGACATGGACGTGGACGTGGACGTGGACGGGGACGTGGACGTGGACGTGGACGTGGACATGGACGTGGACGTGGACGTGGACGTGGACGTGGACGTGGACATGGACGTGGACGTGGACGTAGACGTGGACATGGACGTGGACGTGGACATGGACGTGGACGTGGACGTGGACATGGACGTGGACTTGGACGTGGACGTGGACGTGGACGTGGACGTGGACATGGACGTGGACGTGGACATGGACGTGGACGTGGACGTGGACATGGACGTGGACGTGGACATGGACGTGGACGTGGACGTGGACGTGGACATGGACGTGGACATGGACGTGGACGTGGACGTGGATGTGGACGTGGACGTGGACATGGACGTGGACGTGGACGTGGACATGGACGTGGACTTGGACGTGGACGTGGACATGGACGTTGACTTGGACGTGGACGTGGACATGGACGTGGACGTGGACGTGGACATGGACGTGGACGTGGACATGGACGTGGACGTGGACGTAGACATGGACGTGGACGTGGACATGGACGTGGACGTGGACATGGACGTGGACGTGGACGTGGACATGGACGTGGACGTGGACATGGACGTGGACGTGGACGTGGACGTGGACGTGGACATGGACGTGGACGTGGACGTGGACGTGGACGTGGACATGGACGTGGACGTGGACATGGACGTGGACGTGGACGTGGACGTGGACATGGACGTGGACGTGGACATGGACGTGGAGATGGACGTGGACGTGGACATGGACATGGACATGGACGTGGATGTGGACATGGACGTGGACGTGGACATGGACATGGACGTGGACGTGGACATGGACGTGGACGTGGACGTGGACGTGGACATGGACGTGGACGTGGACATGGACGTGGACATGGACGTGGACGTGGACATGGACATGGACATGGACGTAAACGTGGACATGGACGTGGACGTGGACATGGACATGGACGTGGACGTGGACGTGGACGTGGACATGGACGTGGACGTGGACGTGGACGTGGACGTGGACGTGGACATGGACGTGGACGTGGACGTGGACGGGGACGTGGACATGGACGTGGACGTGGACATGGACATGGACGTGGACGTGGACGTGGACGTGGACATAGACGTGGACGTGGACGTGGACGTGGACATGGACATGGACGTGGACGTGGACGTGGACGTGGACGTGGACTTGGACGTGGACGTGGACGTGGACGTGGACGTGGACATGGACGTGGACGTGGACGTGGACATGGACGTAGACCTGGACATAGACGTGGACGTGGACGTGGACGTGGACGTGGACCTGGACGTGGACGTGGACCTGGACGTAGACCTGGACGTGGACGTGGACATGGACGTGGACGTGGACGTGGACGTGGACGTGGACATAGACGTGGACGTGGACGTGGACGTGGACATGGACGTGGACGTGGACGTGGACGGGGACGTGAACGTGGACGTGGACGTGGACATGGACGTGGACGTGGACGTGGACGTGGACGTAGACGGGGACATGGACGTGGACGTAGACATAGACGTGGACGTGGATGTGGACGTGGACGTAGACGTGGACGTGGACGTGGACGTTGACGTGTAGACGTGGACGTGGACGTGGACGTGGACGTGGACTTGGACGTGGACGTGGACTTGGACGTGGACGTGGACGTGGACGTGGACATGGACGTGGACGTGGACGTGGACGTAAACGTGGACGTCGACATGGTCGTGGGCGTGGACATGGACATGGACGTGGACGTGGACGTGGACATGGACGTGGACGTGGACGTGGACGTGGACGTGGACGTGGATGTGGACATGGACGTGGACGTGGACGTGGACATGGACGTGGACGTGGACATGGAGGTGGACGTGGACATGGACATGGACGTGGACGTGGACGTGGACATGGACGTGGATGTGGACATGGACGTGGATATGGACGTGGACGTGGACATGGACATGGACATGGACGTGGACGTGGACATGGACGTGGACGTGGACATGGACATGGACGTGGACGTGGACATGGACATGGACGTGGACGTGGACGTGGACATGGACGTGGACGTGGACATGGACGTGGATATGGACGTGGACATGGACATGGACATGGACATGGACATGGACGTGGACGTGGACATGGACGTGGACGTGGACATGGACGTGGACGTGGACGTGGACGTGGACGTGGACATGGACGTGAACGTGGACGTGGACGTGGACATGGACGTGGACGTGGACATGGACGTGGACGTGGACGTGGACGTGGACGTGGACGTGGACGTGGACGTGGACGGGGACGTGGACGTGGACGTGGACGTGGACATGGACATGGACGTGGACCTGGACGTGGACGTGGACGTGGACATAGACGTGGACGTGGACGTGGACGTGGACATGGACGTGGACGGGGACGTGGACGTGGACTTGGACGTGGACGTGGACGTGGACATGGACATGGACGTGGACGTGGACGTGGACGTGGACATGGACGTGGACCTGAACATAGACCTGGACGTGGACGTGGACGTGGACGTGGACGTGGACGTGGACATGGACGTGGACGTGGACATGGAAGTGGACGTGGACGTGGACGTGGATATGGACGTGGACGTGGACATAGACGTGGACGTGGACGTGGACATGGAGGTGGACGTGGACGTGGACGTGGACGTGGACGTGGACGGGGACGTGGACGTAGATATGGACGTGGACGGGGACGTGGACGTAGACGTGGACGTGGAGGTGGACGTGGACATGGACGTGGACGTGGACATAGAGGTGGACGTGGACGTGGACGTGGACATGGACATGGACGTGGACGTGGACATGGACGTGGACGTGGACGTGGACGTGGACGTGGACGTGGTCGTGGACGTGGACGTGGACGTGGTCGTGGACGTGGTCGTGGACGTGGACGTGGTCGTGGACGTGGACGTGGACGTGGACGTGGACGTGGTCGTGGACGTGGTCGTAGACGTGGACGTGGAGGTGGACGTGGAGGTGGTCGTGGACGTGGACGTGGAGGTGGTCGTAGACGTGGACGTGGACGTGGACGTGGACGTGGACGTGGACATGGACGTGGACGTGGACGTGGAGGTGGTCGTGGTCGTGGACGTGGACGTGGACGTGAACGTGGACGTGGAGGTGGTCGTAGACGTGGACGTGGAGGTGGTCGTGGTCGTGGTCGTGGTCGTGGACGTGGTCGTGGTCGTGTCGTGGACCTGGACGTGGACGTGGTCGTGGTCGTGGTCGTGGTCGTGTCGTGGACCTGGACGTGGACGTGGACGTGGACGTGGACGTGGACGTGGACCTGGACGTGGACGTGGACGTGGACGTAGACGTGGACATGGACGTGGACGTGGACGTGGACGTGGACGTGGACATGGTCGTGGACGTAGACATGGACGTAGACGTGCACGTGGACGTAGACGTGGACGTGGACGTGGACCGTGGACGTAGACGTGTACGTGGACATGGACGTGGACGTGGTCGTGGACGTGGTCGTGGTCGTGGTCGTGGACGTGGGCGTGGACGTGGACGTGGACGTGGACGTGGACGTGGACTGGTCGTGGACGTGGACGTGGGCGTGGACGTGGACGTGGACGTGGACGTGGACATGGTCGTGGACGTGGGCGTGGACGTGGACGTGGACATGGTCGTGGACGTGGACGTGGACGTGGTCGTGGACATGGACGTGGACGTGGAAGTGGGCGTGGACGTGGACGTGGACGTGGATGTGGACCTGGTCGTGGACGTGGACGTGGACGTAGACGTGGACGTGGACGTTGACGTGGACGTGGACGTGGTCGTGGACGTGGACGTGGACGTGGACTTGGACGTGGACCTGGTCGTGGACGTGGACGTGGACGTGGACGTGGACGTCGACGTGGACGTGGACCTGGTCGTGGACGTGGACGTGGACGTCGACGTGGACGTGGACATGGTCGTGTGGACGTGGACGTTGACGTGGACGTCGACGTGGACGTGGTCGTGGACGTGGACGTGGACGTGGACGTGGACCTGGATGTGGACGTGGTCGTGGACGTGGACGTGGACGTTGACGTGGAAGTGGACGTGGACGTGGTCGTAGACGTGGACGTGGACGTGAACGTGGACGTGGACGTTGACGTGGACGTGGACGTGGACGTGGTCGTGGACGTGGACGTGGACCTGGTCGTGGACGTGGACGTGGACGTGGTCGTGGACGTGGACGTGGACGTGGTCGTGGACGTGGACGTGGACGTGGACGTGGAGGTGGAGGTGGACATGGACGTGGACGTGGACGTGGACGTGGACGTGGACGTGGACGTGGAGGTGGAGGTGGACATGGACGTGGACGTGGACGTGGACGTGGACGTGGACGTGGACGTGAACGTGGACGTGGTCGTGGACGTGGACGTGGACGTGGACGTGGACGTGGACGTGGACGTGGACATGGACGTGGAGGTGGACGTGGAGGTGGACGTGGAGGTGGACGTGGAGGTGGACGTGGAGGTGGACATGGAGGTGGACGTGGACGTGGAGGTGGAGGTGGACGTGGACGTGGAGGTGGAGGTGGACGTGGACGTGGACGTGGACGTGGACGTGGACGTGGACATGGTCGTGGACGTGGACGTGGACGTCGACGTGGACGTGGACGTGGACCTGGTCGTGGACGTGGACGTGGACGTCGACGTGGACGTGGTCGTGGACGTGGACGTGGACGTGGACGTGGACTTGGACGTGGACCTGGTCGTGGACGTGGACGTGGACATGGTCGTGGACGTGGACGTGGACGTGGACGTGGACATGGTCGTGGACGTGGACGTGGACGTGGACGTGGACCTGGTCGTGGATGTCGACGTGGACGTCGACGTGGACGTGGACATGGTCGTGTGGACGTGGACGTTGACGTGGACGTGGTCATGGACGTGGACGTGGTCGTGGACGTGGACCTGGACGTGGACGTGGACGTTGACGTGGACGTGGACGTGGTCGTAGACGTGGACGTGGACGTGGACGTGGACGTGGACGTGGACGTTGACGTGGACGTGGACGTGGTCGTAGACGTGGACGTGGACGTGAACGTGGACGTGGACGTTGACGTGGACGTGGACGTGGACCTGGTCGTGGACGTGGACGTGGACATGGACCTGGTCGTGGACGTGGAGGTGGACATGGTCGTGGACGTGGACGTGGACGTGGACATGGACGTGGAGGTGGACATGGTCGTGGACGTGGACGTGGACGTGGATGCGGACGTGGACGTGGACGTGGAGGCGGACGTGGACGTGGACGCGGAGGCGGACGTGGACGTGGACGTGGAGGCGGACGTGGACGTGGAGGTGGAGGTGGACGTGGACGTGGAGGTGGACGTGGACATAGACGTGGAGGTGGACGTGGAGGTGGACGTGGAGGTGGACGTGGACGCGAACGCGGACGTGGACGTGGACGTGGACGTGGACGTGGACGTGGACATGGACGTGGACGTTGACGTGGACGTGGACGTGGTCGTGGACGTGGACGTGGACGTGGACGTTGACGTGGACGTGGACGTGGACCTGGTCGTGGACGTGGACGTGGACGTGGACGTGGACGTGGACGTGGACATGGTCGTGGACGTGGACGTGGACGTGGACGTGGACGTGGACATGGACGTGGACATGGACGTGGACGTGGACGTGGACGTGGACGTGGACCTGGACATGGACGTGGACATGGTCGTGGACATGGACGTGGACGTGGACGTGGACGTGGACGTGGACGTGGACGTGGAGGTGGACGTGGAGATGGACGTGGAGGTGGACGTGGAGGTGGAGGTAGACGTGGACGTGGTAGGCCACGTGGAGGTGGACGTGGACGTGGACGTGGACGTGGACATGGACGTGGACGTGGACGTGCACGTGGACGTGGACGTGGAAGTGGACATGGACGTGGACATGGACGTAGACATGGACGTGGACGTGGACATGGACGTGGACCTGGACGTAGACGTGGACGTGGACGTGGACATGGTCGTGGACGATGACGTGGACATGGTCGTGGACGTGGACGTGGACCTGGTCGTGGACGTTGACGTGAACGTGGACGTGGACGTGGACGTGGACGTGAACCTGGTCGTGGACGTGGACGTGGACGTGGTCGTGGACGTGGACGTGGACGTGGTCGTGGACGTGGACGTGGACGTGGACGTGGAGGTGGAGGTGGACATGGACGTGGACGTGGACGTGGACGTGGACGTGGACGTGGACGTGAACGTGGACGTGGTCGTGGACGTGGACGTGGACGTGGACGTGGACGTGGACGTGGACGTGGACATGGACGTGGAGGTGGACGTGGAGGTGGACGTGGAGGTGGACGTGGAGGTGGACGTGGAGGTGGACATGGAGGTGGACGTGGACGTGGAGGTGGAGGTGGACGTGGACGTGGAGGTGGAGGTGGACGTGGACGTGGACGTGGACGTGGACGTGGACGTGGACATGGTCGTGGACGTGGACGTGGACGTCGACGTGGACGTGGACGTGGACCTGGTCGTGGACGTGGACGTGGACGTCGACGTGGACGTGGTCGTGGACGTGGACGTGGACGTGGACGTGGACTTGGACGTGGACCTGGTCGTGGACGTGGACGTGGACATGGTCGTGGACGTGGACGTGGACGTGGACGTGGACATGGTCGTGGACGTGGACGTGGACGTGGACGTGGACCTGGTCGTGGATGTCGACGTGGACGTCGACGTGGACGTGGACATGGTCGTGTGGACGTGGACGTTGACGTGGACGTGGTCATGGACGTGGACGTGGTCGTGGACGTGGACCTGGACGTGGACGTGGACGTTGACGTGGACGTGGACGTGGTCGTAGACGTGGACGTGGACGTGGACGTGGACGTGGACGTGGACGTTGACGTGGACGTGGACGTGGTCGTAGACGTGGACGTGGACGTGAACGTGGACGTGGACGTTGACGTGGACGTGGACGTGGACCTGGTCGTGGACGTGGACGTGGACATGGACCTGGTCGTGGACGTGGAGGTGGACATGGTCGTGGACGTGGACGTGGACGTGGACATGGACGTGGAGGTGGACATGGTCGTGGACGTGGACGTGGACGTGGATGCGGACGTGGACGTGGACGTGGAGGCGGACGTGGACGTGGACGCGGAGGCGGACGTGGACGTGGACGTGGAGGCGGACGTGGACGTGGAGGTGGAGGTGGACGTGGACGTGGAGGTGGACGTGGACATAGACGTGGAGGTGGACGTGGAGGTGGACGTGGAGGTGGACGTGGACGCGAACGCGGACGTGGACGTGGACGTGGACGTGGACGTGGACGTGGACATGGACGTGGACGTTGACGTGGACGTGGACGTGGTCGTGGACGTGGACGTGGACGTGGACGTTGACGTGGACGTGGACGTGGACCTGGTCGTGGACGTGGACGTGGACGTGGACGTGGACGTGGACGTGGACATGGTCGTGGACGTGGACGTGGACGTGGACGTGGACGTGGACATGGTCGTGGACGTGGACATGGACGTGGACGTGGACGTGGACGTGGACGTGGACCTGGACATGGACGTGGACATGGTCGTGGACATGGACGTGGACGTGGACGTGGACGTGGACGTGGACGTGGACGTGGAGGTGGACGTGGAGATGGACGTGGAGGTGGACGTGGAGGTGGAGGTAGACGTGGACGTGGACGTGGAGGTGGACGTGGACGTGGCATGGACGTGGACGTGGACATGGACGTGGACGTGGACGTGCACGTGGACGTGGACGTGGAAGTGGACATGGACGTGGACATGGACGTAGACATGGACGTGGACGTGGACATGGACGTGGACCTGGACGTAGACGTGGACGTGGACGTGGACATGGTCGTGGACGATGACGTGGACATGGTCGTGGACGTGGACGTGGACCTGGTCGTGGACGTTGACGTGAACGTGGACGTGGACGTGGACGTGGACGTGAACGTAGACATGGACGTGGACGTGGACGTGGACGTGGACATGGACGTGGACGTGGACGTGGACATGGACGTGGACGTGGACATGGTCGTGGACGTGGACGTGGATGTGGACGTGGACTTGGACGTGGACGTGGATGTGGACGTGGACGTGGACCTGGTCATGGACGTGGACGTGGACGTGGACGTGGTTGTGGTCCTGGTCGTGGACGTCGACGTGGACGTGGACGTAGACGTGGTCGTGGACCTGGTCGTGGACGTGGACGTGGACGTGGACGTGGACATGGACGTGGACGTGGTCGTGGACGTGGTCGTGGACGTGGTCGTGGTCGTGGACGTGGACGTGGACGTGGACGTGGACATGGACATGGACGTGGACATGGACGTGGACGTGGACGTGGACGTGGTCGTGGACGTGGACGTGGACGTGGACGTGGACATGGACGTGGACGAGGACGTGGACGTGGACGTGGACGTGGTCGAGGACGTGGACGTGGTCGTGGACGTGGACGTGGACGTGGACGTGGACCTGGACGTGGACATGGACGCGGACGCGGACGTGGACGTGGACGTGGACGCGGACGTGGACGTGGACGTGGACGTGGACGCGGACGTGGACGTGGACGGGGACGCGGACGTGGACGCGGACGTGGACGCGGACGCGGACGTGGACGTGGACGTGGACATGGACGTGGACATGGTCGTGGACGTGGTCGTGGTCGTGGACGTGGACGTGGACGTGGACGTGGACGTGGACGTGGACGTGGACGTGGACGTGGTCTTGGACATGGACTTGGACGTGGACGTGGACGTGGACATGGACGTGGACGCGGACGTGGTCGTGGACGTGGACGTGGACGTGGACGCGGACGTGGACGTGGACGCGGACGTGGACGTGGACGTGGATGTCGACGTCGACGTGGACGTGGACGTGGACGTGGACGTCGACGTGGTCGCGGACGTGGACGTCGACGTGGTCGCGGACGCGGACGTCGACGTGGACGCGGACGTGGACGTCGACGTGGACGCGGACGTGGACGTCGACGTGGACGTGGACGTGGACGTCGACGTGGACGTGGACGTGGACGTGGTCGTGGACGTGGACGTGGACGTGGACGTGGACGTGGACGTGGACGTGGACGTGGACGTGGACATGGACGTGGACGTGGACGTGGACGTGGACGTGGACGTGGACCTGGACGTGGATATGGTCGTGGAGGTGGACGTGGACGTGGACATGGACGTTGACGTGGACATGGACGTGGACGTGGACGTGGACGTGGACGTGGACATGGACGTGGACGTGGACGTGGACGTGGATCTGGACGTGGACGTGGTCGTGGACGTGGACGTGGACATGGACGTGGTCGTGGACGTAGACGTGGATCTGGACGTGGACGTGGTCGTGGACGTGGACGTGGACGTGGACGTGGTCGTGGACGTGGACGTGGGGGACTAGGACGTGGACATGGACGTGGACGTGGACGTGGACGTGGACGTGGACGTGGACGTGGACGTGGACGTGAACGTGGACGTGGACGTGGACGTGGACATGGACTGGACGTGGACGTGTTCGTGGACATGGACGTGGACGTGAACGTGGACGTGGACGTGGACGTGGACGTGGACATGGACGTGGTCGTGGACGTGGACGTGGACGTGGACGTGGACGTGAACGTGGACGTGGACGTGAACGTGGACGTGGACGTGGACCTGGACGTGGACGTGGACGTGGACGTGGACGTGGACGTGGACATGGACGTGGAGGTGAACGTGGACGTGGACGTGGACGTGGACGTGGACGTGGACGTGGACGTAGACGTGGACGTGGTCGTGGACGTGGACGTGGTCGTGGACGTGGACGTGGACGTGGACGTGGACGTGGACGTGGACATGGACGTGGACGTGGACGTGGAAGTGGACGTGGACGTGGTCGTGGACGTGGACGTGGACGTGGACGTGGACGTGGACCTGGACGTGGACGTGGACACGGACGTGGACATAGACGTGGACGTAGACGTGGACGTGGTCGTGGACGTGGACGTGGACGTGGACGTGGACGTGGACGTGGACGTGGTCGTGGACTTGGACATGTTCGTGGACGTGGTTGTGGACTTGGACATGTTCGTGGGCGTGGTCGTGGACGTGGACGTGGACGTGGACGTGGACATGGACCTGGACGTGGACGTGGACATGGACATGGATGTGGACGTGGACGTGGACGTGGACGTGGACGTGAACGTGGACGTGGACGTGGACGTGGACGTGAACGTGGACGTGGACGTGGACGTGAACGTGGACGTGGACATGGTCGTGGACGTGGACGTGGACGTGGACGTGGTCGTGGACGTGGACGTGGACATGGACGTGGACGTGGACGTGAACGTGGACGTGGACCTGGACGTGGACGTGGACGTGGACGTGGACGTGGACGTGGACGTGGACGTGGTCGTGGACGTGGACGTGGACGTGGACGTGGTCGTGGACGTGGACGTGGACATGGACGTGGACGTGGACGTGAACGTGGACGTGGACCTGGACGTGGACATGGACGTGGACGTGGACGTGGACGTGGACGTGGACGTGGACATGGACGTGGACGTGGACATGGACGTGGACGTGGACATGGACGTGGAGGTGGACGTGGACGTGGACATAGACGTGGACGTAGACGTGGACGTGGACATAGACGTGGACGTAGACGTGGACGTGGACATGGACGTGGAGGTGGACGTGGACGTGGACATAGACGTGGACGTAGACGTGGACGTGGACATAGACGTGGACGTAGACGTGGACATGGTCGTGGACGTGGACGTGGACGTGGACGTGGACGTGGACGTGGACGTGGACGTGGACATGGACGTGGAGGTGAACGTGGACGTGGACGTGGACGTGGACGTGGACGTGGACGTAGACGTGGACGTGGTCGTGGACGTGGACGTGGTCGTGGACGTGGACGTGGACGTGGACGTGGACGTGGACGTGGACGTGGACATGGACGTGGACATGGACGTGGACGTGGACGTGGACGTGGTCGTGGACGTGGACGTGGACGTGGACGTGGACCTGGACGTGGACGTGGACATGGACGTGGACATAGACGTGGACGTAGACGTGGACGTGGTCGTGGACGTGGACGTGGACGTGGACGTGGACGTGGTCGTGGACTTGGACATGTTCGTGGACGTGGTCGTGGACGTGGACATGGACGTGGACGTGGACGTGGACGTGGACGTGGACATGGACGTGGACGTGGACGTGGACGTGGACATGGACGTGGACATGGACATGGACGTGGACGTGGACGTGGACGTGGACGTGGACGTGAACGTGGACGTGGACGTGGACGTGGACGTGAACGTGGACGTGGACATGGTCGTGGACGTGGACGTGGACGTGGACGTGGTCGTGGACGAGGACGTGGACATGGACGTGGACGTGGACGTGAACGTGGACGTGGACCTGGACGTGGACGTGGACGTGGACGTGGACGTGGACGTGGACGTGGACATGGACGTGGACGTGGACATGGACGTGGACGTGGACGTGGACGTGGACGTGGACCTGGACATGGACGTGGACATGGTCGTGGACATGGACGTGGACGTGGACGTGGACGTGGACGTGGACGTGGAGGTGGACGTGGAGATGGACGTGGAGGTGGACGTGGAGGTGGAGGTAGACGTGGACGTGGACGTGGAGGTGGACGTGGACGTGGCATGGACGTGGACGTGGACATGGACGTGGACGTGGACGTGCACGTGGACGTGGACGTGGAAGTGGACGTGCACGTGGACATGGACGTAGACATGGACGTGGACGTGGACATGGACGTGGACCTGGACGTAGACGTGGACGTGGACGTGGACATGGTCGTGGACGATGACGTGGACATGGTCGTGGACGTGGACGTGGACCTGGTCGTGGACGTTGACGTAAACGTGGACGTGGACGTGGACGTGGACGTGAACGTAGACATGGACGTGGACGTGGACGTGGACGTGGACATGGACGTGGACGTGGACGTGGACATGGACGTGGACGTGGACATGGTCGTGGACGTGGACGTGGATGTGGACGTGGACTTGGACGTGGACGTGGATGTGGACGTGGACGTGGACCTGGTCATGGACGTGGACGTGGACGTGGACGTGGTTGTGGTCCTGGTCGTGGACGTCGACGTGGACGTGGACGTAGACGTGGTCGTGGACCTGGTCGTGGACGTGGACGTGGACGTGGACGTGGACATGGACGTGGACGTGGTCGTGGACGTGGTCGTGGACGTGGTCGTGGTCGTGGACGTGGACGTGGACGTGGACGTGGACATGGACATGGACGTGGACATGGACGTGGACGTGGACGTGGACGTGGTCGTGGACGTGGACGTGGACGTGGACGTGGACATGGACGTGGTCGTAGACGTGGACGAGGACGTGGACGTGGACGTGGACGTGGTCGGGGACGTGGACGTGGTCGTGGACGTGGACGTGGACGTGGACGTGGACCTGGACGTGGACGTGGACGCGGACGCGGACGTGGACGTGGACGTGGACGCGGACGTGGACGTGGACGTGGACGTGGACGTGGACGTGGACGGGGACACGGACGTGGACGCGGACGTGGACGCGGACGCGGGACGTGGACGTGGACGTGGACGGGGACGCGGACGTGGACGCGGACGTGGACGCGGACGCGGACGTGGACGTGGACGTGGACATGGACGTGGACATGGTCGTGGACGTGGTCGTGGTCGTGGACGTGGACGTGGACGTGGACGTGGACGTGGACGTGGACGTGGACGTGGTCTTGGACATGGACTTGGACGTGGACGTGGACGTGGACATGGACGTGGACGCGGACGTGGTCGTGGACGTGGACGTGGACGTGGACGCGGACGTGGACGTGGACGTGGACGCGGACGTGGACGTGGACGTGGACGTCGACGTGGACGTGGACGTGGACGTGGACGTCGACGTGGTCGCGGACGTGGACGTCGACGTGGTCGCGGACGCGGACGTCGACGTGGACGCGGACGTGGACGTCGACGTGGACGCGGACGTGGACGTCGACGTGGACGCGGACGTGGACGTCGACGTGGACGTGGACGTGGACGTGGTCGTGGACGTGGACGTGGACGTGGACGTGGACGTGGACGTAGACGTGGACGTGGACATGGACGTGGTCGTGGACATGGACGTGGACGTGGACGTGGACGTGGACGTGGACGTGGACGTGGATCTGGACGTGGACGTGGACGTGGACGTGGACGTGGACATGGACGTGGTCGTGGACGTAGACGTGGATCTGGACGTGGACGTGGTCGTGGACGTGGACGTGGACGTGGACGTGGACGTGGACGTGGACGTGGAGGACTAGGACGTGGACGTGGACGTCGACGTGGACGTGGACGTGGACGTGGACGTGGACGTGGACGTGGACGTGAACGTGGACGTGGTCGCGGACGCGGACGTCGACGTGGACGCGGACGTGGACGTGGACGTGGACGCGGACGTGGACGTGGACGTGGACGCGGACGTGGACGTGGACGTGGAGGACTAGGACGTGGACATGGACGTGGACGTGGACGTGGACGTGGACGTGGACGTGGACTAGATCTGGACGTGGACGTGGACGTGGACGTGGACGTGGACATGGACGTGGTCGTGGACGTAGACGTGGATCTGGACGTGGACGTGGTCGTGGACGTGGACGTGGACGTGGACGTGGTCGTGGACGTGGACGTGGAGGACTAGGACGTGGACATGGACGTGGACGTGGACGTGGACGTGGACGTGGACGTGGATGTGGACGTGAACGTGGACGTGGACGTGGACGTGGACATGGACTGGACGTGGACGTGGACGTGGACATGGACGTGGACGTGAACGTGGACGTGGACGTGGACGTGGACGTGGACATGGACGTGGTCGTGGACGTGGACGTGGACGTGGACGTGGACGTGAACGTGGACGTGGACGTGAACGTGGACGTGGACGTGGACCTGGACGTGGACGTGGACGTGGACGTGGAAGTGGACGTGGACATGGACGTGGAGGTGAACGTGGACGTGGACGTGGACGTGGACGTGGACGTGGACGTGGACGTAGACGTGGACGTGGTCGTGGACGTGGACGTGGTCGTGGACGTGGACGTGGACGTGGACGTGGACGTGGACGTGGACATGGACGTGGACATGGACGTGGACGTGGACGTGGACGTGGTCGTGGACGTGGACGTGGACGTGGACGTGGACGTGGACCTGGACGTGGACGTGGACACGGACGTGGACATAGACGTGGACGTAGACGTGGACGTGGTCGTGGACGTGGACGTGGACGTGGACGTGGACGTGGACGTGGACGTGGTCGTGGACTTGGACATGTTCGTGGACGTGGTCGTGGACGTGGACATGGACGTGGACGTGGACGTTGACGTGGACGTGGACGTGGACGTGGACATGGACGTGGACGTGGACGTGGACATGGACCTGGACGTGGACGTGGACATGGACATGGATGTGGACGTGGACGTGGACGTGGACGTGGACGTGAACGTGGACGTGGACGTGGACGTGGACGTGAACGTGGACGTGGACATGGTCGTGGACGTGGACGTGGACGTGGACGTGGTCGTGGACGTGGACGTGGACATGGACGTGGACGTGGACGTGAACGTGGACGTGGACCTGGACGTGGGCGTGGACGTGGACGTGGACGTGGACGTGGACGTGGACGTGGACGTGGTCGTGGACGTGGACGTGGACGTGGACGTGGTCGTGGACGTGGACGTGGACATGGACGTGGACGTGGACGTGAACGTGGACGTGGACCTGGACGTGGACATGGACGTGGACGTGGACGTGGACGTGGACGTGGACATGGACGTGGACGTGGACATGGACGTGGACGTGGACATGGACGTGGAGGTGGACGTGGACGTGGACATAGACGTGGACGTAGACGTGGACGTGGACATAGACGTGGACGTAGACGTGGACGTGGACATGGACGTGGAGGTGGACGTGGACGTGGACATAGACGTGGACGTAGACGTGGACGTGGACATAGACGTGGACGTAGACGTGGACATGGTCGTGGACGTGGACGTGGACGTGGACGTGGAGGTGAACGTGGACATGGACGTGGACGTGGACGTGGACGTGGACGTGGACGTGGACGTGGACGTAGACGTGGACGTGGTCGTGGACGTGGACGTGGTCGTGGACGTGGACGTGGACGTGGACGTGGACGTGGACATGGACGTGGACGTGGACGTGGACGTGGACGTGGACGTGGTCGTGGACGTGGAGGACGTGGACGTGGACGTGGACCTGGACGTGGACGTGGACATGGACGTGGACATAGACGTGGACGTAGACGTGGACGTGGTCGTGGACGTGGACGTGGACGTGGACGTGGACGTGGACGTGGTCGTGGACTTGGACATGTTCGTGGACGTGGTCGTGGACGTGGACATGGACGTGGACGTGGACGTGGACGTGGACGTGGACGTGGACGTGGACATGGACGTGGACGTGGACGTGGACGTGGACATGGATCTGGACGTGGACGTGGACATGGACATGGACGTGGACGTGGACGTGGACGTGGACGTGGACGTGGACGTGAACGTGGACGTGGACGTGGACGTGGACGTGAACGTGGACGTGGACATGGTCGTGGACGTGGACGTGGACGTGGACGTGGTCGTGGACGAGGACGTGGACATGGACGTGGACGTGGACGTGAACGTGGACGTGGACCTGGACGTGGACGTGGACGTGGACGTGGACGTGGACGTGGACGTGGACATGGACGTGGACGTGGACATGGACGTGGACGTGGACATGGACGTGGAGGTGGACGTGGACGTGGACATAGACGTGGACGTAGACGTGGACGTGGACATAGACGTGGACGTAGACGTGGACGTGGACATGGACGTGGAGGTGGACGTGGACGTGGACATAGACGTGGACGTAGACGTGGACGTGGACATAGACGTGGACGTAGACGTGGACGTGGTCGTGGACGTGGACGTGGACGTGGACGTGGACGTGGACGTGGACTTGGACATGGACGTGGACGTGGACGTGGACGTGGACGTGGACGTGGACGTGGACGTGGACGTGGTCGTGGACGTGGACGTGGACGTGGACATGGACCTGGACGTGGACGTGGACATGGACGTGGACGTGGACATGGACGTGGACGTGGACGTGGACGTGGACATGGTCGTGGACGTGGACGTGGACGTGGACGTGGACGTGGACGGAGACGTGGATTTATATATTTCCCACCTTCTGATCGAGTGAGACCGCTAGATTCCCTCTAGTTTTTGAGAAATGAGCGTTTCCGTTCTCCTTGGCCCTAGTTGCACTATAAGTGCGAAATGCCGGCCAGACTGCCCGATGCACAATTTTCTCTAAACATGTGCGTTAGTTACCTTTCAGACCCGTTCACTAGATGATTATATTTCCTACTTTCTATTTGAGTGAGACCACTTGATTCCGTGTACTATGCGAGATCTGAGCGCTTCCGTTCTCCCTGGCATTTGCATTTTAAGTTCCGATACTGACCGACCTGGCCAATGCACCATTTTCTCTATACATGTGCGTTGAATACATTTCAACCTTTTTAGCTGACTAGATTTATATATTTCCCACCTTCTGATCGAGTGAGACCGTTAGATCCCTCTAGCTTTTTGAGAAACGAGCGTTTCCGTTCTCCCTAGGCCCCACCTGCACTATGAGTGCGAAAATGCCGGCCAGACTGGCCGATGCACCATTTTCTCTACACATGTGCGTTAGTTACCTTTCAAACCCTTACGTTCACTAGATGAATATTATTTCCTACCTTATATTTGAGTGAGACCACTAGATTCCGTGTACTATGCGAGATCTGAGCGCTTCCGTTCTCCCTGGCATTTGCACTCTAAGTTCCCATACTGACCGACCTGGCCAATGCACCATTTTCCATATACATATGCATTAGATTCCTTTCGAACCTTATTAGCTCACTAGATTTATATATTTCCCACCTTCTGATCGAGTGAGACCGCTAGATTCCCTTTACTTTTTGAGAAATGAGCGTTTCCGTTCTCCTTGGCCCTACTTGCACTATAAGTGCGAAATGCCGGCCAGACTGGCCGATGCACCATTTTCTCTACACATGTGCGTTAGTTACCTTTCAAACCCTTACGTTCACTAGATGAATTTATTTCCTACCTTCTATTTGAGTGAGACCACTAGATTCCGTGTACTATGCGAGATCTGAGCGGCTTCCGTTCTCCCAGGCATTTGCACTCTAAGTTCCCATACTGACCGACCTGGCCAATGCACCACTTTCCATATACATATGCATTAGATTCCTTTCGAACCTTATTAGCTCACTAGATTTATATATTTCCCACCTTCTGATCGAGTGAGACCGCTAGATTCCCTTACTTTTTGAGAAATGAGCGTTTCCGTTCTCCTTGGCCCTAGCTTGCACTATAAGTGCGAAATGCCGGCCAGACTGGCCGATGCACAATTTTCTCTACACATGTGCGTTAGTTACCTTTCAAACCCTTACGTTCACTAGATGAATTTATTTCCTACCTTCTATTTGAGTGAGACCACTAGATTCCGTGTACTATGCGAGATCTGAGCGCTTCCGTTCTCCCTGGCATTTGCACTCTAAGTTCCCATACTGACCGACCTGGCCAATGCACCATTTTCCATATACATATGCATTAGATTCCTTTCGAACCTTATTAGCTCACTAGATTTATATATTTCCCACCTTCTGATCGAGTGAGACCGCTAGATTCCCTTTACTTTTTGAGAAATGAGCGTTTCCGTTCTCCTTGGCCCTACTTGCACTATAAGTGCGAAATGCCGGCCAGACTGGCCGATGCACCATTTTCTCTACACATGTGCGTTAGTTACCTTTCAAACCCTTACGTTCACTAGATGAATTTATTTCCTACCTTCTATTTGAGTGAGACCACTAGATTCCGTGTACTATGCGAGATCTGAGCGCTTCCGTTCTCCCTGGCATTTGCACTCTAAGTTCCCATACTGACCGACCTGGCCAATGCACCATTTTCCATATACATATGCATTAGATTCCTTTCGAACCTTATTAGCTCACTAGATTTATATATTTCCCACCTTCTGATCGAGTGAGACCGCTAGATTCCCTTTACTTTTTGAGAAATGAGCGTTTCCGTTCTCCTTGGCCCTACTTGCACTATAAGTGCGAAATGCCGGCCAGACTGGCCGATGCACCATTTTCTCTACACATGTGCGTTAGTTACCTTTCAAACCCTTACGTTCACTAGATGAATTTATTTCCTACCTTCTATTTGAGTGAGACCACTAGATTCCGTGTACTATGCGAGATCTGAGCGCTTCCGTTCTCCCTGGCATTTGCACTCTAAGTTCCCATACTGACCGACCTGGCCAATGCACCATTTTCCATATACATATGCATTAGATTCCTTTCGAACCTTATTAGCTCACTAGATTTATATATTTCCCACCTTCTGATCGAGTGAGACCGCTAGATTCCCTTTACTTTTTGAGAAATGAGCGTTTCCGTTCTCCTTGGCCCTACTTGCACTATAAGTGCGAAATGCCGGCCAGACTGGCCGATGCACCATTTTCTCTACACATGTGCGTTAGTTACCTTTCAAACCCTTACGTTCACTAGATGAATTTATTTCCTACCTTCTATTTGAGTGAGACCACTAGATTCCGTGTACTATGCGA